AACAAAAAAAAGAAAGAATTGATGAATAATAAAAATATTAATTTTTTCGTTTTATTACTTCAATTTTTGCATTAATTGATCTATATCATCAGGATGTAGTTCAGGAGATATCTAACATTTTTTTTTTTAAATAATATATATTTGAATAATATAAATGGGCGTGGACGACTGGCATGGTACCCCAAGATATATTTGCTTGTATAACTTTAATTGCTCATCAAAGAAATGTGATTTTTTTATCAGTTGTAGCACATATATAGTGCTAACGATCTATCAATATTTGAGGTCTATATTATACTACAAAAGAAGGGTTATCATGTTCGTTTCTATAATCATTGCTAAAGACTTAGGATGTGAATGTGATTTAGGTAACCTGCTGTGGAATATGATAACCAGATCACACCAATACCATCATCTGTTGAGTGATTTTCAAAATTCAACATAAATACTGTATACCATGTTTCTCTGGACTTGAATGCAAAAGTTCATGACTAAATTTATTCGCTATTTTTCTCAGAACAAGCTTTTCAATCAAAAATTTATATAATGTTGAACTGGTTCAATGAAAATATTTTTTTGTTCTAAAGTCTAAATGAAAGTAAAGTTTCGGACGACCAAACTTTTTGTACTTGTGTTTTTGCTGTTGAGAAAAGCAAAACTTAGTATTGTGAAACGGCATTTTTTGCTCATTAGCACTGTATGTACCGAAATGATCAGTAAAACGATGAGCAGCAGCGAGTTTCAAAACTCTGTACCATACAAAACTGAATGAATGTATTGGTATCAATTTAAATAAATTCCAAGCATTTTATATCTTGGTGTGCCAATTTTATAGCTGACTTCCTGAAATACATAAATGGACTATAAATAAACTGAAACTTCGCTCTAGTTTGGCATATCAAGCTAACGTTTCCATTAGAAGTGTTTTTCATTAGGGTCCCTAATTTCTGAACATTTCAGCCTCAGTGGAGCGCTTTGAGCGAAAAGTCTATGATGACTTGAACAGGCTTCAATAGATATATAGCTATATTTGAATTATTTAATTAATTCTTTGAACACAATTAATAAAATATGAGAATATAAGACCATTCTGAAATTTGCATCTCTATATCGCAATGCGTTCGGAAGATATTCAGCAAACAAAAGTCAAAAATTGTTCATTTTGAAACCAAAATTCTCCTTGAATCTACCCTTTCCAGGTTTCATGTCTATCTTGTTTGAAAGAGCGTATCAGGATGCAGGCAATGACAAATCTTTTTTTTTAATACCGCAATTTTTCAACGGGAAAAGCAGAAATAAAATATTTAATTTTTTGAAAAATTCTTTAATAAAAGCGCTATAATCATAGAACTACCCCATTATATACTAATAATAAAGTATAATTCAAGAAAGGGATTCAGCCATACTCTATACCTTCACTAGCTCTTTCTTTCAAAAAATCATTGTATTGGTAATAATGAGCTTCCTTCGAGAATTCTGGGATGCGTCAAATTTATTAAAATCTACGTAACTGAACATATAAATTTAATAAAGAACCATAGAGAAGTAATGAAATATATCTGCCATCGTTATTAGTTTATGATGAAATCTTTTTATTCGATGACACAATCAACATTCTTTAATAGACAATATACGTCCAATACAGAAAAAAAAATGCAATACATTAAAAAAGATAGATATTTATTGAAATGTTCATTCTTGAGCTTTTGATGTTGTGAGATGATTTAAAAAATTCGACCCTAAAATAAACAGAAATCTTATTTTTTCAGAATGTAAATGCTTGACTTATACCTATTTTTTATCTTTGCCCAAGAACTTTTCATATACTTTACTTTTAACAGCTTCTTCCTGATCAGTACTTTTATTTGTTACTTTCTTCACATAAAAAGTTCTTAAATTCATCGGAATATTATCATTTGGATTAAGTGTTCCATCTGGTGATAACCGAATTACATTTGTGTTTGTGAAGACCACGCCTGATTTATCGGTTATTCGAACATTAAGTCTGTAAAGATCAGACTTTTCGGATAATTTAGACAACTGAAGATCGATGTTCTTGCTGTTATCACTTAATTCATAAGGAATTGTATCCTTGTATTCTTCTGTTGTTCCTATCTGGATATATCGCTGAAATTCAAGACTTAATGGATAAACGAACTGTAAATGTTGACTTGATTTTCTCATTCGAATATATATTCTTGATCGTTCATCAAAAGTTGCTGTTGCAGTTGGATCCATAGCCATAGCCATAATTAATCAAACAAATACAGTCTATAAAAAAACAAAAGGTGAATACAACAAACGGCAGTAGTCACTTACTAAATAAATGTTGTTGAATATGACGAACTTTACGATATGAAAATAAAATATAGAAGCTTCGAGAATAGAAAGAAGAAAAGTAATGATCGTTATAACATGGTCTAGACTATGTATGGTCAGAAACGAAAAAATAAAAGAGAGAAAAATAAGATCTGCACGTGATGTCTAAATAAAAAAAGAGAAAACAACATCACACATATTATTGATGCGAATGATAGGGAACAATTCAATCGAGTCTTAATAAATTGATTAGACTATATTATTCTTTGGAAGTCTCTCTTTAAAAGAGTATTGTAGATACATTTTATTTCATTTTTTTTTCCTTTCATACTCAGAAGAAAAACAAAATAAAAATATTAATAAATAGATTTGATTCCGCCAATACTCTGCTATAAAACAAGATTTGATATTTGATTACATACCTTATCATTTGTCGACCATGTACGATCAGACAAATTCAAGAGAAGATAGTAACCATATATAATACAAACGAATTTCGAAGGAAAATAAAAGCCATAAATACTTTATTTTGAATTGGAATTGCAACGATCTTTGTGTTTTTCCGATACCAACATCAGCTTGCACAATGAATACAGGCACTAGTCTGTCTTTATAGAAAATGACCCGTCTGTTTTAATTTTTCTCGGTTGTCATTGGAAAAGAATAATAATGAATATTCAACATATGTTTTTTTCTCTTGTTTAAATAATGATCGAACAGTAATGCTTAAGTGGTTACGTGCCAATGTTTCTAAACTTTACTTGCAGTTTATAAACCAAAAAATGTTACACAACGTTCTAATACAACATAAAACAACACTGTCATACAATACTGTTTGTTTTTTTTTCTCCAATCATATTGAGTTGTATAAAATAAATGAATGTCATTATAAAAATAATACCCGTCAAAGAAGGCAGACGGACACGGCTCATTGTTCATGCGAATATATAAATGCAGCTCAAAGGAATCAATGAGAGAAATGAAGAAAATGATGGTCACTATGTTTGAATTTCTATCTATCGATGTTCTTTATGAAATATGTGCTTATTTGACACCTGTTGATATTCTTCGATCATTGGCATCATTGAATAAACGTTTCTCAACGATTTTTATGTATCAATTTTTGTGGCATATTCATATTGATGGTGATAGAATGTCGTTATTGACGTTCAATGATTTTTGTGAAAATATTTTAAAAGTAGTAAGACATAGAGTTGTTTCACTACGTATTACATTCAAGCATGTTGTTGGTGGATGGTCACTCGTTTCATCAGCTTTGAAATATCATCAAACAATGCTACTTCGACATGTACAACTGATTGATATTCAACCATATGAATTTGATAAATTTTTATGTAATCATTTAACAAAACAATTGCATACTTTAATCGTTGATGTAACAGAACATAATCCATTCAATTATCAAGCTATGGAAGGAGCATATCTGGCTAAGGTACGAAAGAACATTTTACTCGAATTCATTATGAACGTTGGAATTTCCTTTTGAAAGAAAATCCTTTGAAAATTGACTTTTAAAACATTTCTTTTTTTTCATGTTTATTAAAGGTATGTTCATGTTTGCCCGCATTAACTATCTGTCGACTTCCATTTAATTTTTGTCGGATAAGTCATAAAAAGTTACTAAAATCTTCAACAACACCGTTGATGTCTCTACCAAATGTTTTCAACACAACTTATCTTCATACATTGACTGTTGGTGTAAACACATCACGTTTTTTAGAACACTTACTACCGTGTATACCTTTCATTCAAAATCTTTCTATTGGTATAGCAGATCCAGTGGTAATCGATGATGATGGATTTGACATAGTCTCGTAAGTAATATACTATCATTTGGATAAGTATCGAAACAATTGAAATTTTTAGAATGCCCGTTGCTGTTGATGCTCGTCTACTTCGCAATCTAGTTCGTGTTAGAGTGAACTGCTTGAACACCATAAGTTTTCATCGAACGATTGTGCTTTTATCATGTGTATTAGATCAATTAATTCATTTTTCCCTTAAATTAAATTCATATGCATCTGCCTGTGATCCGTTTGCTATATCCGGTGATATTATTCAACAAACATGTATTGATCGTCTGAAACCATCGGCGTCTTATGCTCTCGATCTGTCCTTTAATATCGAGAAAGATTTGAAGGAAAAAAAAATTTATAATTCATTCGTAAAAGCTGCTTTTTTTCGTCGACAAAAGCCGAGAGTGATTATTCAAGAACGAAATAATTGGGGTATTGGTCGTGATCACCATTGCTTTATCTTGTACACTTCTCCATATAATGGTACGAAGCTTCAAACGCACTTTTTTTCTGAACATTTGCCAGTGTATGTATAACATGTTTTGTCTGTATGTGAACTATCTATAGAAAAGTTTTCTTTTTATTCAGATCGTCAAAGTCTATGGATCCAACTGGTTTGTTTCCACGAGCTAATGAACTGTTCATTGAAGGTTTTAATGGCGGAAGTTCTCATCATGAACTCAGTAAATCTAGAAAGCCCATGTTATCATTTGTTCCATGGTCATTGCTAACAAAAATTGTCATTGATGGTAGCTATTTTATTAGTGCAGCTGAATTAGAAGCAATATTAAGAATGTCTTATAATGTACATACGCTACAAATAAAAGAAGATAACGGTAGTTTATGCCGCGCTATATTATTTGACACAGCCAATCTGGCAACTCGTATCAATCAACAGGTAATTATTTCTATACTTATAAAAGAAATCTTATTAAAACTAATCCCATTGTTTTTTCTATTGATCTCTAATTTCAAGAGAATATTTTTTAAAATGAACTAAGTACATTTTATTTTAAAAAAATGGATCAGTAGAAAGATTTTACTCATTATATAACAAGTCAAAGATTTCTTCTTTATTAGATAAAATCATTTGATATGGATGCTGAGAGCATAACATTACGCAATGGTGAATACTTCTGCAAACGTATCTCCAATCGACTGTCTGACTTGAAACACTTTTCATTTTCTCTTCATAATTCACATGATGAATTCGGTTGGCATTCGTCAAATACTCGTCATGGTCAAATTACATGTACAGAACGCATTGTTAATCATATTTGTTATCTTCTCGATCATTTTCAACAACTTGTTTCACTTGATATGTCTTTTGTTGGTTGGACCTTCACTGCAACACCATGCTTTTCATATCTTATTCGACGACAACTGCATGAATTGCTGCTTAACCGACCTTATCGAGTACGATGTTCTGAAAAGATTCAAATCTGGCTTTAACAATGTAATGAATGCTGTTAATCCATTTTGTTATTGTCAATTCTTTCTTTATGTCTAATAAAAGAAACCAACGTAACAACTGGTTTTGAGTTGTGCTAGTGGAAGCTGACATTTTAATCACTACTGTAATAGAATTTTCAATTTGCTTACAAACTTCTTTCATCTGAGGAAATCCGAAAGAAGTTTTTCATTGCAAAGTTATCGTTGTTTACATTATAGTACAAGCTCTCTATAGTGGACATCAAAGAAACCCTTTCAAAGTGTCCACTTTCAAGAGGTTATTGAGTGCAGACGAGATCGAAAAAAGTGTCCACAGTCCAGAATAGAGAGGTATCCACATTCAAAAGGTTCATTTCCAGCAAAAAACGTTCGGGAGACCGACAGGTGATCACAATTCAGATGTGTCGATATAGGGAGGTTTTACTATAGTGAGAGATCTTCTCACATCGCTACGACAATTACAGCTAGACATTCGAGATCCATGTAATGGTATACAGAAATCACTTATGAAAATATTTAATTGAAAGAAAAATATACTGCAACAATTAAGTCTATTTTTATTTAATCTATATCTTCCATGATCTTCAAAGAAAAAAAGGTCCAATAAAAACATTTATAAAATAAAAAAAACAAACAAACAATCATATTTATAGACTAATGCAATCGTTTTCTTCATTATTGTTAATTGACTTGTCATCTTTATTATTTATTTCTTGAAAATCTGATAGATGAATAAATTTTTTCGTTGGTAATAATTCATCAAATTCTAATTTTAATTGTGAAAATTGTATTAATTCAATTAATTTTTCATCAACATCAGGCATTGTATGTAAATTATCCGATAATTCAATAAGATCTTTATCAGTAATATTTTTTGCTAATAATTTTTTTTGTCCTGTTTGAACAAGTGAAATAAAAAAATCTAATTTTTCACCATTATCAAAACCATTTCCTGTCCAAAAGGCTTCATCATTTAAATGTTGTCGTTGATTTATTATTTGTAATGCATGATCACGTTGTTTTTCAATTTCATTTATAAACTTTTGAACATAATTTTCAATACGTTCACGTATATTATCATATTCTTTTGTTATTTTATCCATTTCCATACGTTTTTTATTTATTAAATTAATGAGATTCAAGTAAATCTAATTGTATTTTACTTTCACGATGTATATCTAATAAATGTGTTCGTCGACATGTATCACAAAGCATAAAATAACAATGTTTACATATTTTTAACATTTTAAGTAAACAACATGTATGACATCGTGCACGATAAAGTCCATTTGATTGACTTTGTTGTTGTTGATCAGAATTAATTTTTGATGTATCTAATGGTTCACAAAGTTGTTTAAGTACAGGATTAATAATTAATATTGATTCAAAATGTTCAAATGAACGAAAATTAAATTGATATTTACAATATGGACAAAGTATAAAATTAATGGATGTTGATGTATTATTATTATTATTATTTTGAGCATAATCAAGTAAACATGAACGACAAAATGAATGTGCACATGGTAAGCAATATGGTGATGACATACGAGATAAACATATACCACACATTAATATTTCATTAAGAAAATCATCTTTTGTTTTTGATGATGATGTTTCAGGTATATTTTCTGTTGAATCAGAATTTGTATAGTTAGAAGCCATTAAAAATTAATCTAAAAAAATGAATATTTAAAAAAAAAGACCATGGACCTATTCATTATGAAACTATTCAAATGATTACTTTAGACATATAAATACAGAATAAAAATTGTCCTTCGAATACACTTCTTCCTCAAAGTATTAAAAACATTTTCAGATCAATCTTACCTTCACTGCTCCCAACATCATATTTTTCTTTTGAATCTGAAAGAAAAATAATAAGTCAATATTAAATAGATTTCTTCTTCTAATCATCATCCACAATGATAACATAATGATATACGATATTTAAGATGACAAAATATATTCTTGTACTAGTAGTTTATCAAATATTCTTCCTCATATTGTTTTCTATATATAAACTCGAAAAGCAATCAGGTCATTTTATTGGACAGAAAAAAAAAGATTGGGCAAACAAAATCTATAGCATATTCACAATTAACATCAAAAACTCCATCGAATTATCTATGTTTTAAACTTTTTTCCTCTACGAAAAATCGAGTTGTCGTCTCCTCAGGTTTTTGTTTGTAAAATTCTGCCCCATAAGTCAATGTTTTCTAGCCAAAAAAATTTAGAACATAGTTTTTCACATTGATTGCGAATATACTATCCATTTGACTTTTTAACTAAACCATACTAACAAAAACCATTAAATACAGGCACATTTTTCATGCTTTTATTTGATTTTGCGATAAAATGAGGAAAAACTCGATTTTTTCAACAATATAACAAAATTCGAAAAAACTAAATAGATACTTTTGTAGCTCAGAATCTTGTGATTCTAATGAAACAAAATGGAGCTATCTATATATATATATATATAACAATAAAATGATTTCATAAAGTTTGAAAAAAGAAAGTAACGTAATTGAAAATGCTGCAAGTTTTTGACATTTTTTTCAGCTAATAAAATACAGATCGAATCGAAATAAAAACTATATCAAGCCATAAATAAATGAATGAGAAACAAATTCATTCGAATTTTGCATTTTTCGCACTTTATTTAACTGTTGTAGCAATAAATTAAACTTTATTATTTATTTCTTCTTTATGTATACTATATAAAAGTGCACCTAAAATAAAATTAATCTGATTTGTAAATATATTTCGCTCCTAAAGTCACGAAAAAAGCGAAATTGTTATCTTTTTATGTAAGAAAAAAATTTATAATATCTTGACATATATAACTAAGTGCCCCCAAACTTTGACGAAATACATATCAGATTAAAGTTCATAACTTCTCACATTATCTCATTATATTGTTAATACATTAATAAGATCTTAAGAGCCAATATCTGTTTATACTCAATGATCATACTCATTCTTTCATGTAAACTATGCAAATATATATACAGGATAGTCCAAAAGTTACCCAATCAGTTAGTCTAGGACGTGCACTAGACTCGCGTATTTAAGATCGACATCCACCATAGTTACATCTATAACGTTCGAATGAAACAAGATAATAGCTTTGGGTATGGGTATGAACATAGATTGCAAGTATGTGGATCTACTGTACTTATTAGAATTGAAATTTTATACCATCTTCAGAGAGCTATCATTTTTCTTTCGAACGATGAAAATTGTAGCTCTTTGTCTTGTTCATATCAAAAGTTGTTATTCAAAATCAATGACTAACTGACGGATAACTTTTGGACAACTCTCTATATCAGCATCATTCATCATTTTTTATGCATATTTTTAATGGAGCTATTCACTGTAGGTATGACATTGTTTTTCTTCTTTCTTTATAACCATATTTTCTGTTTTTAGACCGCTTTATAGTTGGTGTGATCACTTTATGTACGTTGATATCTAGTCTTGATCCTTGTTTCGAATATTTTATCTTACACAATAGTAACCAGAGTTAGAAATATTCATTACTTTAACACAAAAACTTTATTTAATTTTTTTTTACAAAAAAATTTTTTTGAATCATACACAAAAGTCGAATCACTTTTATTGAAATAATAATGAAAATTTATGAATATATGTAGAAAGAAAATAGTTTTTGAAATGTTTTGGAAGTTGAGTAACATAACTAGTAGGTATATAACGTACTTTTGAACAATTAAATTGTGTTGCCATTCTTCTAAAATAATGTGTCACATTTTTCATTGATTGATAATCGCTCAAAACAGTCACATTATATGGTAAATATGTTTTTATATCAAGTAAAAATTGTTCAATATAATCTTCATGCACTTGAACAAAGTCAAGTTGAATTAGACAAGGATATTTAATGATTGGTAAATTTTGATGATGATTACTTGATTTTATACATTGTTTATTATTTTGTCCTTTTTCATTAACTAAAGATAATTTTTTTAAAAATGGAAATGATTGTGGAATTTGAAGAAAAAATTCATGTTCAAAAGGATGTTCATCAAATAATGATATATAAGAAACATATTTAAATAATTCACCTGGAAAATTATTTGTTATTTTCTTATAATAATTCAATCATTATGGATATGAATAAATACGACATTGACTTTCATTTCTTTTTTCAAAATAATAAACATAAGAAATAATTTGATAATCTTTAAAATATTTGAATGTTTGATGAATATCTTCATTTGATCGTAAATCAATTTGATTAAAATTTCTGCTAGATGAGAAAATATTAAATGTAAATTTATTTGATCGTAAAATATAATTAATAATATTTGTCTTCAATTCATCACCATCAATAAATTTATTTCTTTTACAACAAAAAAATAAAATTAAGTGTTTCTAAATTCATCATTCGTTGTACAAGTGGTTTTATTTCTTCATCATAATAATTTGTATCATTTTTACAGTGTAACGAAAAGTATCTTAAGTTAGGAAGTTTTTCCTAGAAAAAAAACAAAAAAACAATAATATTGATTTATTTGAATAAATTAGTTATACTTTATTATTGATTTTTGAATTTTGCTCAATAAAAGCAATATTAACTTTAAGTGTATGAAGTTGATTAAAACGACCATCAAGTAAATAAAGACAATCAATAAATCTTTTCAAACTAACACGTAATTCTAATAGAGTTGAAGAGAAAAGAGTTGGAGGTAAAATAGTAAAAAAGAATCGTTGAAAATTAATTGAATGTGAACCGAAATCCAAATATTGTAATTTATCAAATATGATAAAAATTTGTATAAATGTATGTTCAATCATATTTTTCCTTGTTATTAGATTTTCACCTTTAGTAATATGAATAGCAAGTGATGAAATCTGATTTTTGAATTTATGAATTACAGAAGTATTCTCTAAATATAAATACATAAAAAAACAGTTTAATTCTTCAAAATATAAATCAAATCATAAAATAGACTTTTTTTAAAGTCTTTTTTAATTAATTCTCTAGCATAGAAAAAAGAAAATATCTTACCAGTAAAGAAATCTTTAGCTTTTTCTATATCAAGATCATATAAATCAAGTCGATATAAATTAGGATAATTTGTAGAAAGAAGAATACGTTTCATAGATGACGATTCAAGATTTAACCATTGAATATTATCATGAATTTCAGGTAAAATTTGAAAACAAAATCGATCAAGTATTGGATTAGGTAATGGATAAATATTACCATGTGAACAAGATATCATTAAATTTAAATAACTTGTAAAAATCCGATCATGTCCGATGTTGTTCAATCGTTTATTAACACCTATTAAAGAATAGAGTACATCAACATGGCTGATTTGTTTTAAAATATTCAGAAGAATTTCATCAGGTAAATCAGTCAATTGAATAAATGAATTTTCCATATTCATTTTCACTTATCTATTTTTTTTTTTAGCTTATAAATGTCTATATTTTAGTCAATGAAGATAATAGTGTATTTTTTCTGGATTGGTGAAAGTTAAGCACGGGAAAAATCAGCGCGGAGAGATC